AGAGAGAGAGAGAGAGAGAGAGAGAGAGAGAGAGAGAGAGAGAGAGAGAGAGAGAGAGAGAGGTGACATTGATGCCAGTCCAAAACAGAAAAACAGACTGGGGGCTCACTGTAATAGCTAATAAACTTAGTCAGGGCTGTGAAAAGGAATACACACATGTAGATTTGTGCTTCAGAAACAGCAAAGAATGTCTTATTTTAAAACTGATTAAATCTTTAATTATTGCTACACTGTAACCAGGTTAAGTTTAACTGAACATCTATGGTGTTTGAGGTTTCAAAGCTCCCAAAGGACACCCTGCACTACAGCCAGTGTCTCAGGGTTAGATATTGTTATGTTAACAATGGGATTCCTTTCCCCTACCTGGACTGCCTGACTAGGCCTCAGTGGGAGAGGGTGTACCTAGTCCTGCTGGGACTGGATGTCCCAGCGTGGGGTGTTAGCCAAGGGAGACTTCCCCTTCTCTGAGTGTGTGGGGGGAGGGATTTGTAAGAGTGGGACTGGAAGGGGGGGCTGTGATTGGGATGTAATGTGAATTGAAAAAAATACGTTAGGAAAATAAGAATGCATTGTAAAAGCACTGCTTCCTGCCCCTCTCCACCGCATTAATTGGATTTACCCCACCATACCTATATTTTTCTTTGTCTTCCTCTTCTTGGGTAGCAAACACCTTCCACTGGAAGTGGGCAATTATATTTGTGCGGTTGTGAATGGTGATAGAGCGCTGGTTGGCCAGAGATATGTAGGTCTTCTCCATGATCAAAGAATTCTTGTCCAGCCTTATGTTCACGTCTACAGCAACTCCATAGAGACACACAAATACCATCTCACCTAGCAATTAATAAGGCAGAAAGACACTTTAGGACTTATCCTAGGATGGGAAGGAGGCTCACTTAACAAAGTACGCCCCATGCAAGCCTGGAGATCTGAGTTTGATTTCTCAGAACCCCACAAAAAAGCAAGCATGAGCCGCCCAGAGTTTCGGTGCTGGGGAAGAGGAGATCAATAGTTTCTTGGGGGTCACTGGCCAGCCAATCTAGACAAAAGTGACCTTGTCTCAGAGAGTAAGGTAGATTAAGGAATACACCTGACACTGATCTCTGCACAGGCATGTACACATACATGTGTACACACATAGAAGACTAATTCTAGAATGATACTTCTGGCTTTAAAAAAATCAAGATGAGGTTAGAGAATGTGGACCAACTATTTTATATTTTATATGTCCCCTAGGCCATCATCCCAGAGTTATACATGATCAGAAAACTTAATTATCACCCTTTGTTGAAATTACAGGAAATTAAACTCTCTTCTCTGGTCATTTTTAAAAATACATAAGCCACATAAAATATGAATTGTTATGGAAGGTTCTCTGGGGATATTTTTCTTCACAAATACTCTTCGGGCTTACACTTGGCCAGGAGGACCATGCACTTCAGAATTATAAACACCAGCCTTGTCTTTGGTTCCAGCATGATCTAGTGTCTGGTTCTAGAAAGATCCAGTCAAATATACTTGGCAAGAGCTGCTCATCACTGGGGAATTTAAGTTCCCACAGGGGTCCAAAATCAGATTCAGCAAGTTTAAAACTAGAATCACATATTCAGACAACAATGATAGTAACACAGAAGATACTATGCCTGGGTAGCAGATACATAGAGAGAAAACAAAAATCATGAGTCAATTTTTAAAAGAATCTCAGGATCATTTGCTCTTGGTGAAACAACAGTGACAGACTATTGTAGATTCATAGTTATCTTGACTCAAGGTATGTGACGTCACTAGGCATTCTTGAAGATGCAAACCCAAGAGCGGCAGTCTTCTTGACTCTGTGGGGCTACTGGAGTGTATCACTCTAGCGTTAAAACAGAAAAGGGAGTGGAGAGATAGCTCAGGAGGTAAGAGCACTGGGTGCCTTTCCAGGGGACCTAGGTTTGATCCCTGCCACCCACACAGAGGCTCACAACCAACTGTAGCTCCTGTTACAGGGAACGTGACTCCTCTTTTTTCTCTGAGGGTAGCAGAGATGCACATAGCGCACAGACATGTATGCAGAAAACACACATACATAAAATAAATTTAAAAAGAGAAAGGGTATACTTAAATACTATGCATACTTTGTGGATCTGTGCTGTACAAGTTTTAACTAGAATCACAAATGCATGATTATTCACTCTTTTGTTTTCAGCAATGGTTTCGTAGTTATTAACAGTAGCATATGAGCCAAAAAGCCACCTTAGTAAATCAATAACCTGAGTTCCGGGAAGCTGCTTCTAGGGTGGGATACTCTCATGCAGCTGCTCAATGGATCCAGGTGGAACCAACTGCTCTTATCCCCACTTAATCTGGACCTGGCTACAATTTAGTGGTAATTTAGATTTTAAAGGTCAAATACGTCATTCTTCACCATTTTAAAATACTAATCTACATGTTTGTGTTCCTGTTCATAGCCCCAGCCAAGTGGATAAGATTCTGAAGGTTTCCTTTAACTTTTATCATAGCTTGAAGAAAAAGCAAGCACCAAACCTTTGAGCCTAAAGTTTAAAGATTGTAGATAGATAAACAGACAGATACATAGATAGATAGATAGATAGATAGATAGATAGATAGATAGATAACAATAAATAAGATGATAGGTTGATAATCAAATTTTAAGCACTATAAAAACATGCACAAAGAAACTGAAACGTCTCACTCTCCCTCACTCAAGCCTAGACCTGCAGTTTAGAGGTAAGAGTTGCCCATGTTTCCATGGACATCCTTCAGAAAATGATCAGACTTTCTGGAGAGTGAAATTTAGCAATTGGTGAAAACTTGCTGTTCTCACTTGCATATTTTAAGTGTGGATGACATTGGGTTCCATTTATGACTTAGTAGAAAAGATAAAAAGAAGACCTTTCCTACAAATTCTGTTACTAATAGAACTACGCCTCCAAATGAGGGTGAACCGGATGGAGATGGCCCTCCATTTCCATGGTTTACCGTCAAAGACTGTCTTGCTGAAATCTCTTACACCTTACAGAACACTTCAAGTTTATGTCACTTTCTGATTCCGACCTGGGATAAAGCAGAGAAACAACTCTTTCTCCTTTAGAGCAGTGGTTCTCAACCTTCCTTTTAATACAGTTCCTTGTATTGCAGTGACCCGTCCCCCATAAAATTATTTTGTTGCTACTTCATATCTGTAACTTTGCTATGGTTATGAATTATAATGTAAATATCTGTGTTTTCTGATGGTCTTAGGTGATCTCTGTAAAAAAGGGATGTTTGACATCCAAAGGGGTTGTATCTCCCATAGTTTGAGGACCACTGCTTTAGAAGAAGGCGCCTACATCCAAAAATTTAAATTTTCCAACAGCACAGAGCCAGATACAATGATGTTTGCAAAGGACTGAAACCTCAGGGGTTAGAACTAGTAACATGTGACAACAGAAACGGGCTGGCCAAGAACAGACACCTCGCACCACCAGAGAGAGACCACACACCAGTCATACCTCAAATGTTCATAGAAACCAATGGATGATGTGGAAGTTGTACCCAGAGAACGGGAGACTAAAAAAGAATCTAAAATGTGGATAATAGTCATAGACTAGGACTTACAGATAAAAAATGAAATGAAATAAAATAAAATAAAATAAGATAAAATGGCCTAAAGTTTTAAAAGTAAGACTGCAAAGGAAGATAAGAACCTTTAAAGGATAATCATAATAAGAGAATTTCTATTTTGATGACAGAAATCAGTGAAATAAAAACCAGTTCACAAAATATAAAAGGCAGCATGAGGAAGTAACATTGAGCCTAGGGACTCTTGAGGACTGCAGAATGGAGATGGTCACATCTAGCCAAGGCAATATTTCAAGAGATGATGGTTAGGAGTTTCCTGGAATTAGGGACATCAGTTGTCAGTTCAAAAACCCAGGGAGGGGATTAAAATGGGGTAAGATTAGGGAAAATGTATACCTAAATATATTACACAGAACTCGAAGACAAAATCTTAAAAGCAGAGAAAGACAAGACATTGCCTTTTCAAACAGACCTACTCACAAAACCTTCAGCCCCAAATTTGTCCTATCTATAACATGCACAGGGATAAAGATGGAGCAGAGATAGAGGGAATGACCAGTCAACGACCAGCCCAGCTTGAAACACATTCCATAAAAGATAGCCAGTCCCTGACACTGTTGATGATACTCTGCTATACTTGCAGACTATGCTAGCATAACTGTCTCCTGAGAGGCTTCATCCAGTAGCTGATGGAAACAGATGCGGAGACCCACAGAGAAACATCAGGAGGAGCTCGGGGAGTCTTGTAGAAGAGTGGGGGATAGGATTTGAGCAAGCTTAGAGGAGTCCAGGTCACCACAAGAAGACTTACAGAAGTCTTTTAACCTGAGCCTGTGGAGGATCACAGAGACTGAACCACCAACCAAAGAGCATGCAAAGGCTGGACCTAGGCCCCCTACACATTTGTAGCAGATGTGCAAGCTTGATCTTCATTTTAATAATTCTTAACAATTGGAGAGGAGACTGTCCCTGACTCTGGTGTCTACCTTTGGATTCCTTTCCCCTGGCTGGGTGGCCTTATCTGGCTTCAGTGGGAGAGGATGCACTTAGGTCTACTGCAACTGGATGCCCCAGGCTGGAGTAGTACCCAAGGGGGACTTCTCCTTCTCCTCAGTAAAAGGGAAGAGGTAATGAGGGGAAGGACTTGAAAGGGCAGGACAGAGAGGAGAGAAGGGGTGGGAGAGGGTGCGATTGGGATGTTAAATGAATAAATAATATATTTTTGGGAAAAAAAAAGAATAGACTTATACCTGATGTGTTAACTGAAACAGTAGCAATTTAAAAATGATGGAATGTAATCTCCAGCCCGACTGAGGGAAAATATGACAACCAGGAAGTCTATAGAAGCTTTTCAGTTTTTAAATTTTTGTCTGAAAATGTCATTATTTTGTTTTTACCTTTCAAGGATACTGGAATGCTAAAAAGCCCCAGTATAACCTTGTTTTCCTTCAGCACTTTAATGATGCCGTTCCTCAGCCTCCAGCTTTCTTAATTTCAGCTGAAGAGTTTGCCACCAGGATTATGAGCATTCCCCTAAAGGCAGGGTGTCTTTCATTTTCTGGTTCCTTTCATAACGCTCTCTTTGCTTTTAAACAACAGCACGACTAGGTTTGATTTAAGTGTATTGTGAATCAAAGGAAGAAATGATATGTCCTTCACTGATGCTGGAAACAAATTTTCAAAATCCAGAACACATTTTAAAGTCTATAAAGCCTGATGCCCTGAATCTGGTAGAGGACTAGGTTTGAACTCGCTGGCACAGGAAAGGGCTTTCTGAACAGGACCCTAGGAGCATAGGCATAAAGAGGAGAAATTAATAAACGGGGTCTCATGAAACTAAAAAGCTTCTCTGCAGCAAAGACACCATCCTTTGAGTGAAGAGGCACCTTACAGAACAGAAAAATCTTCAGTAGTCATACATCTGACGGGAAGTATCCAACTATAGAGAGAAATGTGGCTAGATAGGTTATAGGCCCTAGTAGGAACCTGCTACTATTACTCTAAGTTACTCTAAGTGGGCACAGTACTAAGCCGACTTCTAACGACTCAGTTGGTCACCTATAGATTCACGCTCCTCTCATCCCTATTCAAAGAAGCTTCTTTTTCATAGATGGTAATTAACACAGAGACCTACAGCTGGCCAAAATACAAAGAATAAATAAGAGACTGTAGAAATCTTGGCCCTAAATGGGGTGTCTATGTCATATTGCCTGCTCATCCCAAGGCTCAGGTATTGCGGAAGAAAGGACAGAAAGACTGTAAGAGCA